GCACACTAAATCCTTCCGACATATAACAAACAAAATTTATCAAAAAAGAACCACAGGGAATAAAAGAATAATTTTCAGACAAGCCCCCTGATATTTGTTTATTAATCGCTGCCCCCCCGCGTACAAAAAAAATTGCAGTCTTCCACCTTAGTCCAACTCATTTGCCTGCATAAAGCCTCTTTTCCAAGTATACTAGTAAAAAGCACGTGCGATGCACGTGGTGTCGAATGATTTTCGTTGAGTAAGTATGTAAAACAAATTAATATATCATTGCAGAAATGAAGTGAAATATAGAACAAATGAACTCATGTGATTTTTTATTTAAAATTAACGCAAAGATGCTCTAATATAAAAAGAGAGAAATAACGTTTTAAAAAAACAAATCTCTCATAAAAAAACACAAAGATTTTCTTTCATTTTGGTTTTGACGTTCTCATAAGAAACATTCATATGTTCGAGTCCAATACATCAATACTATTGCAAAATTTCTCATAATTAATTTGGAAAAATGCCAATTTTATTCAAACACTTAAGAAACATTCTGACCCAACATGTAGTCAAACTTCATGATCGTATGATATTTATAATAAGGTACTTCTACTAACAAAGCATGAATATCTCTATGAAGTAACTAACGGTGTCATTGAAATTGCTGATATTTTTTTATCATTGTATAAACTACTACATTCCCCTGTCTTTAGAGAGGTTGGTGTCCACTCCATTGATGCATCGCCACACGAGAAGGTAATGAGTTTTATCTCCAAATAAAAGTTAACTTCCCAAAATCTTGGTTATGTTACTTCTATTGAGGTGCTAAATTATTTTATTGTAATCATCATACATTACTGAAAGTACCTCGAAAGCAATTGCACATGTGTTCGAGCACAATACACCAATGAGATTATAAATATTTCTATAAAAAGTGACAACTTGATTCGAACATTCAAAACTGTTTTCATACTCCTACATTTCATTTTCACTGTTATTTATTTGGATATAGAAGAACAATATAATCTATTATTTAAAATCATTGATCATCACGGTTGTTGCAGTGATTTTAAAACTGTTTATCATAATATCTTTTCCATTCATTTGAATATGCAATGTTTGTGTGCCTAAATAACTTCTTTAATGCTTTTATCGTCCAACATTATTCATCATACAAAATAATTAAAAATTCAAGATAATGATCATTTCTTTATTCCCTAACAATGATAAGACAAAACAAACAAAACAATGAGAAATTATTGAGAAGCATATCATTTGTTAAAATATTTGACAGGAGAAGAATTAGAATTCTATTATGTTACAATACTTTTAGTCATCTGTAAAGTTTATTATTATTGAGTCATGATTAAAATATACATTATGTATTACATTATTTTTTGATTTTTTAATTATTAAAATTAAAAATAAATAATATATGATCATTATTTATGAAAACCAATTTCTTATAGAGCCCATATATTTAAACGCTAGCAACAAAAAAGTAGTAATTTTAAAAGACCTTTTGTTTGTAAATATTGGTATTCGTACATCTCTATAAAAGTTCGTATATATTCTTTTTCTCATTGCGTTACTGTTATATTGTTTGTTTCTTATTCTATAGACAAATAATATTTTATTTGTTAAGTAATTAAACACATTTATATGTATTGCATTATTTTTTGTATGTGTTTTATATGATGTTGTTATCAAATTATCTTATTTATTACGCTACAATTAATATAATCACATAAGATAAAATGTAATTTAATATATTTGATAAAAATGTACTTTTTATACTAATTATTAGATTAAAAAGTTTAACAATTTTTCCAATGATTGATATAATATTAAGTAACTAAGGAATTTTCATAATCACTGAATACATATATGGTGCCACTATTATAAGGTTCCTTTTAAAGTAGTAATTGACTCTTAATTTAACATACAACTCATTTATTTCACATAGCTAATGTTATCTCATTTCCCTTCCTTGGCTTAGCCTTTCCTTTTATCTATGAATTCACTCCGCTTCGCTTCGTTTGTACCCTAAGGTGCATTCACCATAGTTTCAGCATTACGAAAAACTCGTGTCAAATATATATCAGATTTTGGGCGCTCTAGCCAAAACGTGGGAATAGTTATAAGTTTACATCCATCTTTTTTTTTTTTTACTTTTTTTTTAATATGAATTGTTTCAAATATATGTAAGAAAAATATACCACAAGTTTATCTTATGTTATTTTATTCTTAATGAAATTGATTTAACTTGAATATAAAATTTATTATATAATATACTTTTAGATCAATTTATTATTTTAAATTAGAATTGATATATATATATATATATTTATTACTTTATATCGATATAAATAATTATATTATTTTTATTTTATTTGCAGAATGTTGGTCAACTCAAACATCATTGAAAATAAATGGTAGAAAAAATATGAAGTATTTC